TCCTTATGCAACAAGACAAATGTTTCTCCAAACTTCAAGATTTATAAAGTTTTGCATCTTTAAAAGTACTGTATTTTGCTGTTCACATTTTCTCACATTAGATTCCATTTGCCATCTTGATGTCCACTTTTTACATTTCTCCACCTGGTTATAACAGGGATGGCGCCTTTATTTGACTGCAACATTTTTTTGCCCTTTTATAAAAGGGTATGCTAGCTAATTCAGTGAATGTTTAACTGTTTACATGCTGTGACTATAAAACTCAGTTTTTTTGTTTTCTTTTAAAACAAGACAATGGTATCATTGGACTTAACCAGGTCTAAGAAATGTAATAAAATACTCCACCTTTTATAGCTACTCAAAGTTCACGTGTGCAAATAGGGAGTGGGAGAATAGATGAATGAATCTGAAGCCCAGTAAAGCTAAAAGGTTTGCAACTCGTGAAGGTTGGTGTCTTCGATCAGGCTGAGGTCAGTGGTTTTTGTGCTTTGTTCGTTGAGGCAGTTTAAAGATGTAAATAGATGATTTATCTGTATTTCTGAAGGTGATAACTACTGGGTTGAGCTCTTTGTAAATATCTCTATCTGCAGCACACACAGTCAAGAAACAGACAGAATTTGGAGCTTGCCAATTGTTTTTAGAGAAAGATAAAAAAAACAGAAGGTGCTGGAGAAATTCAGGTCTGGCAACATCTGATAAGAGAGAGAGAGTTGAAGTTTTGAGTCCAGTATGACTATTCTTCAAACTGAACATCAGTGCCACCTCACACTATCTCAAAGCTGTCTGATCTGCAGTTCCATTTCATTCTTCATCCCATTCAACATTCTAACGAGGAACTTTTCTCTTCTTTTCTGGTGTTATGGAATGCAAGCTCCAAAAACTCTTTGATATTGATGCTGCTCTGGATTACTCATCCCCTCCCCTTACTTCTGACTCTATCCCTTCTAATCCTATACTCATTGTTTGATATTCACTATATGCTTTGACTTTCTCTCTGATGCTGAACAATGTGTGCTCAGCAAAGGACTTATTTTTTATCCCTTTATGCCCCCACCTCAATGAATTTGATGACATTGATATGACATAACATCAAACTCTTTCTCCATTGTCTTCACCTCATTCCTATTTCTTTGGACAAAATTCCTGCCCCTGTTCCTTTCATCTGTCTCCAATACACCCGCTTCACCTTGACCCCTCGCTCTGGCCTTTTATCTGCACTTGATGTCTCCACTGAGAACTGCAGGCATTGCATCAGCTACCTTATTTTTTCTGCTCTCCTCACACACTCCAACCTACCTGTCTCTGAACTTTCTGCACTCCATTCTCTCAGGTCCAAGCCTGACCTTGTTATCAAATATGCTGATAAGGCGCTGCTATTGTTGGCTTATGTGGCACCCTCTACCTTGAGGAGGTTGAGTGTCAATCACTTTATTTAAAGATCCAAAGAAGGGTCACGCCAGACTTGAAATTTTAACTCTGTTTCTTTCTCCACAGAAGCTGCCAGGTTTGCTGAGTTTCTTCAGCACTTTCTGTTTTTATTATAGATTTCAATCATCTGCATTTTGCTTTTGTCTTGAGGGAAAGAGAGACCCATATACAAAAATCTTGCATCTTCAGATGTCCACGGAGAGGTATTTTTAATCAACTTGTTTAGGGATATTATTACATTCCAGAGCAGGTGGAACTTGAACCCAGGCCTCCTGGTTGGAGGAAGGGACACTACCACTGTATCCCAAGAGAAGCCCGTGTACTTGACCGATCTGCAGAGAAACAGAAGGTTAAGCACTTGTAGGGTTAGCTTGCTTGTCACATAACTGCTCTCCAATTGCTCAGTTATTTACATATGATTATAGTGTGGTGGATTCAAGGTATAGAGCTGAACAAATTCTTTTCAACGAAAGAATCCCATTGTCCCAGTGACTCTGTGTAAAGGTTTATCTCTGCCCAGGTGATTGGATGTTTTGCTAGTTGGTATAGGAAATGGCCCACATCATACTCTAGCAAGATGATTGTTCCTGGTGAAGCTATGCGGACAATCCCTGCAATGCAAAATTTGAATTTTCTGTCTACTTGTAAAGTCATTTCTTGTAAAGTATACACCAAACAGTTCAACAGGATAACTATCTCTGTCTTTAGTTGCTTGTTCTTAGTTCTAGCTAAGCTGTGGTACGGAAGTCTACAGCACAGAAAAAAGACCTTCAACCCAAGTTATGCTAGTCAAAAACAGCATCCACTATTCTGTCCTAATAGTAGGTGTTTTAGGTTCCCACATTCCATGTAATAATTCATCTTGAAAAGCATAATTTGGGATGGTGGACTAAGCATCTAAAAATGAGAACATTTAATTCATTCATTCAAATAAATTTAAATTTCAGGAATTCACAATAATAGTATTCTGAAGAAGAATATTGACCACTAGAACCTGTTCTGATGAATGCTCACCAGACCCAAAACGTTAACTCTGATTTTTTTCTTCACAGATGCTGCCAAATCTGCTGAGCTTTTCCAGCAACTTCTGTTTTTGTTATTGTCCACTTGCATACTGATTCCACATATGCTTAAATTGGACCTGACCTACTTAAGTATGCTTCTCAAAAGATTATTGTTCCAATTTTGTCTTGTTTCACATTAACTACTGGATTAAATTTGTATATCTTTCTTCTAGTGCTTTCCTTTGTTATTCTCTTGTTGCATCAATTTAAATCGCACAGAAGATGGTCAAACAGGAATTCCTTCTTGGTTCTAGTTCTGAAGTGTTTTAGCTGAGACGGCCAAGTTCGTGAGCATCTATAAAAGTGCAGATATAATGACAGCATAGGAACATAGAATCCCTACAGTGTAGGAAGAGATCATTTGGCCCATCAAGTTGTATCGCCCCTTCGAATAGCATTCCTCCCAGACACAGCACCCCCATCTGCCCTAGCCCTGTAATGTAGCCCCAAGCAATATTGGTATTATTTATGGAGTCAAAAGTAATATATCAGAATTCCTAGATACACTTTGTTATAAATTTGAACTTATTAAGAGCTCATCACCTGCGTTGTGTACAGCATTAATTTTCTGCTTTTGTCTGTTTCTTCTTGTCACCCTTCGGTGGTTTTGCATTATTCAGCACATCAGTTATTATTTTTCTCATCTCTGTGGACTTGCTCTTTGCTATATCTGCCACCACCTTCAATTTTCTGAGTAAGTTCATTTTGTCTGGTTCTTCCTATCACTTGTTCAGTTTCAATCATGTGACTTAGATATGTTCTCCATGGAAGGAGACCATTTGTTCATCATGGCTGCAGGGGTCAACAAAAAGCTGACTGCATTAATCTCTTTTTCCGGCTCTTGGCCCGTAGCCATGGAGGCTATGGCAACATGAATGAATATCTAAATGTGTGAGAGTTTCTGACTCGGCCACCCTTTCAACTTTTTTCAACCATTTTGGTCCCATCGTCTGCAGTATCTCTCAACTTCATTTGCACCTCCTTCAAAAGCCAGGTCATAAATTAACTCTCAACCATATCAGCTTCCTAAGTCATCTCATCGTACATAATTTATAGTTTTCCTTTTTAGGTACTTTAGAATGCTTCACATTTTTTAGGTGCAAAATAAATATGTATTCATATTTCAAGTTGCTAGTTTAATCTTTTCAATGTACATGAATTTTTGCCATTTATGTTGTATTGTGCCCTTGCAAAATTTCAGTAAATAATGGCCATGTCTTTGCTCTTATCCAGAAGATAACTAAATTTTGTCAAGAGGATTGAAAAGTCCATTAACACAAGCTGCCAGCCTAAAACAATGCTTGCCAATTCTTAGTAAAAACCAAAAGAACTGCGGATGCTGTAAATCAGGAACAAAAACAAAGTTGCTGGAAAAGCTCAGCAGGTCTGGCAGCATCTGTGAAGGATAAAACAGAGTTAATGTTTCAGGTCCAGTGACCCTTCCTCAGAACTCAATATTGAGTTCAATAATTTTAGGACCTAAACTCTCCCATGTCCCAGCCCCCTATCCCACACACCAGGCCTTGTTACCACATAGCCTGCCATTACACACCCACTGTTGTTAGTCACTAACAGTCCCCATTAACAACTATTCACCCTCTCAGCCTGATCGTTAACAACTCCTTCGTCTGTCCAACTGTCCTTTTCTCTCTTTGGGCTCTAACCTACCGTTTACTCCCTACCCCACTCACCTCCCTATTTTCTGCATATAAATTGACGTTTTCCCAGCCACCATCAGTTCGGAGGAAGGGTCACCGGACCTGAAACGTTAACTCTGTTTTTTCCTTCACAGATGCTGCCAGACCTGCTGAGCTTTTCCAGCAACCTTATTTTTGTTCCTTGCCAATTCTTAATACTTCCAATGTGATCCCACCATTTTTAGTATATTTCCTACTCAATCAATATTTACAGATCTGTAATTAAATAGCTGATTTGTGCAAAATGTAAGTGGGGTCCTCAAGTTACTTTAGTCGTTCCAAGTCAGGTGTTCATCTAGTATCTAATTCTTCACTTTTTTAAAAACCTTGCCATCATTTTGAAATTTATTTAAAGTATGTCGATGCTTTCTATTTCATGATGACTATTAAGGGGTTAGACAAATAATTAATGGATTTTGTCCAGGAATATTTGCTGCTTCTAAAATAGGAGGAAAACTTCCAATCAGTGCGGCACTTTCATTTTTTAGATTCTATAATTTTAATAATTCTATAATTTTATTCAGTTTTATTGATTTTTCTGTCTTAACCTGCAAGCCCACACAATACTAACTTAAAATTACTTAATTAAAAGCACAGAATCTTTAGTTTCATTCTTTCCTCAGTCACTACTGTTCTCCTAATGTCCCAAGCTGATTGGTTGTTAATAACCTTTGCAAATCACTTAGTTGTATTTGTCTAGCACGTGGAAATTATTCCCCATTAATCAAGAATGCACATGCAAAATAATCAAAATTAACTGATTTTGGTGTAATATGCTTTTCAGTTTTACAAATGCATGTGAAGCCTTCAGATTTGCATTAGGAAGGTGAATTTTCGTTTCTCGTTTTCTGTGATTATAGGTGTACGACCGTAAGCCTTGAAACTGGTTGTTCTTGCCAGGGAATGGTACGTGATGAGCATTTAGATCTTCTTCAGACCACTAGGTGGCACATCCTGTTAAAATGAATAGCCGGAATGTAAGTTAAGTGAGGAAATCGTAGTGCTCATTAGCTTCCTGCTTATTATTTCAGCTTAATCAGAAAATGCACTGATGCAAAACAGAAAAGTAAATAGGAGCAAGTATTGTGAATTAAAGAAAAAATATCTGCTTGTTTTTGTTAAATTCCAGTACAAAATGTCAGGAAATTTAAGACATGGATTAGTTACTGCCAAAATCACTTGATTTTGTATTTTCCACTATCTTTATAAATGTTCGAAGACCCATCTAAATTGCCAGACTCCACTGATTCATTTGATATGGGAGGAATCTTCAAATAGTACTTTTTTAGGCACTAATAGACGCCAATGTGCTCTGAGCTGTGTAGTTATTTGATATGATCAGTGTACAGCAATAATCAGGCCACTCACAACAAAAACTCAAGGAAAAGATGGAGCTCAGCACCCAATTGCAAGGGCAGATGGAGGGAGAATGAAAAAGAGTGCAACTTTGATTGGAGGAGCACAGGGTACGAGAGGGAACCTATGAGTGGAGGAGTAGCAGCAAGCAGTGACAGAAAGTTTCCAACTGAGGTGCAGGAGAGAGAAAATTAGTGATTGAGATGGGACCAACAGAGGAACATCTTGAATTTGGGGAGGTGGTGATGTCTCTCGACTAGTAATTTAGAAGCTTAGGCTAATGCGCTTAAGATGTGAATTCCCATGATGGCAGCTGGACAAATTTGAATTCAAGCAATGAATCTGGTTTACAAAGCTAGTCTTGATGATTGTCACTGTCATAGTTACCATTGATTGTTGTAAACATCAATTTTGATCAGTAACATCCTTTACGGAACGAAATCTGATATCCCTACCTGGCCAAACCTGAATGTGACTCTATGTGCTTGACTCTTAACTGCCCTTTGAAATGTCCAAGCAAGCCACTTGGTTCAAGGGTATTTAGGGATGGACAAGAAATCCTCATCTTGCCAGCAATGTTCCATCTACATTGTACTTATCTGATGTTCTGGACGATTGGCATAGCGTAATCATAGCATTGACTTCCAGTTCTGAACGTTGTTGCAGCCGGTAAGAAAATAAGAGGGAACACAACAGCCAGTGACATGTCTCATGAAAGAATAAAAAAAAATTTGTTTGGAGGAGCAATGAGAGAAAGGCAATCTTGAGATTGGAGGAGTGGCACTTGTGAAAGAAAGGGAATCTATGTTAGTGGAATTGAGAGGAAATCAGTGATGAGGGGAAGTGCAGGCGTGGTGAGTAACTCACCTTCTGACTCTCCAACGTCTGTCGTACAGATTCCTGCAAGATAAAAGTCAGAACAGTGATTAAATATTCTTCACTTTCTAGATGAGTGCTCTCCAGCAGCACTTAGCAGAGTGGACATTATTCACGACACAACAGTTTTCTTGATCAGCACCCAATCCACCAGCTGAAATCTTCACTCCTTTGACCGCTGGCAGGCAGTACACTCTAGCTGCACTGCAACTATTCACCACTTCTTCAATTTTACTTCTTCAATTTCAAATTCCAAAAGCACATCTCTACTGCTTAAAAGGGCAGCAGAACCATGGATACAACACTACTTGCAAGCTGTTCTTCAAATCAGACATTGCGTTGGCTTGGAACTAGAATGCCATTTCTCCATTGTTACTGTGTCAAAATCCTGGAACTCTCTCCCTAATAGCACTGAGTGTGTACCTGCACTAAACAGACAGCAGTGGTTCAAGAACGTTGCTCACCACTACCTCTAGACAGCAATAAGGGATGAGCATTAAACGCTGGCCTAATCAGAGACTCATATTCCAAGAATGAGTTTTTTTTAAAATAACATGGATCTAGCCCTAGTCCAGGAGCAGCACAAGGCATACCAAAAAATAAAACGCCAGCCTAGTGAAGCTATAACCCATGGCTACAAAGCAGAAACAGCTTCCCGAGGCAGAACAAAGTGATCCCACAACCAATGGATCTGATCAAAATTCTGGAGTCTTGCCATGTCCAGTTGTGAATGCTGATGGATAATTAAGCACCTAACGTGAAGAGGGGGCCCTAAAAACATTCCTGTCCTTGATAGTGACAAGATACCAGCTTGTCATTGGAGAAAACAAGATTGAAAGATTTTGATCTTTAATCAGAAGTGGAAAACTAATGCGCCAACTCCTCATGATATTCAATTACTGAATCTTTACTTTTCTGGCCAAGTTCGACCCCTAGGATAGTAATGTAATAGAACTAGACTATAAGGTTTGGGTTCAAGTTCAACCTCGGAATGTGATGGCATTGTAGGTGTGTCATAATCCATTCAAACATTTTCAAACAGAAATTATGCCTGCAAGAGCAGGTTAATAGCTGAAATGCTTTAGCAAGTAACTCACCTCCTGATTCCATCATCTGCACAAGTGACAAGTCAAGACTGAGATTGGATATACACCATGTGTTTGATAAATTACCATTCCAACAACTTTCAAAAGGTTTGGCATCAACCAAGATAAAACAGTTTGCTTGATCATCATGCCATCCGCTGCCTTAAATTGTCCAATTTCATCATCAATGGCACAACCATAGATCACCAAGGTGTCTTTGACAGGACCTTCCAAACATATGACCTTTATCACTTACAAGTTCCATCTAGGTCATACATGATTCTGACTTGGAACTATATCACCATTCTTGCACTGTTGCTGTGTCCAAATCCTGGTATATCCTCCCTAGCAGCACCAGGAGTGTACTTATGCAGCATTTTGAGCAGTTGGCTCACTGGCATCCCCTCAAGGACAATCAGGGATGAGCCATAAATGCTGGCCTTGCTGCCGATACTCCTTTCCCAACGTCAAATGAGAATAAAAACTTAAATCAGGTAATTCACAAGTGCAGGACTAGTTACCCTTTTTGATCATTGTTACTTATGGTGATGAACTGAGTTCCAGCTCAATCGATAAAACTGCTCCAGATTACTATTATTTGATAATCACGCCTGTTAATGGAAATAAAACAACCTTTAACTTTGTAATACAATGTCTGATTTTAATGGGCTATGGGAGTCACTATGTTTGTCATTACACAAATAAATTTCGGTGGAAACTTAAAACAATTTTCCAATTGTACCAAAACTGGAATCTCTGTCAGGTTCTTGAGCTAAATGAGTAGAAAAAACAGCTAACATTTCTTTCAATGTTGTGTAGAACTCACCTGGAAAGGAACAGGTCTGTAAAAGACTGAAACTCCTAAATGCAAATGCCTTCGTGGTTGTGTATTGTACCTGGTCTATTTGAATGGACACCAAAATATAATTTGTTTTAAATGAGTCCTTGTGCAACCTGTTGAATTCTAATTGCAGAAACAGCTCATTAGCAGATGCATGGTGTTGCTAACAAGGGCGTGAGTGGTTGGTAGGCTATTAGATGCTGATGAAAACTGTTAGCAGCCTAGTTGACGACAGCTGAAATGACATGTCATCTGCTGTGACAGTACCTTTCTAACAGGTTCTCAGGTTTGTAGCTGGGATAAAAGCATTGCTGAGACAGTGAAACCACTGCACTCATACTGGCAGTTGTGCTATTTGGTCGGTATGTACTGACTATACTGACCTCCGATCTGAGGCTCTGAAAGTACCTGGTACGTACTCTATCATAAAATTGCTTGCAACAGTTCAGAATTAATAGTACTACTGATTAACTCTAATTATTTTAAAAATTATTTTCAATTTTCTGAAGTTTTGTAATGAATTGTATCTTAATTTAAACATCAAGTTGCTGAGCCACTTAATGGTGAGAGGCAATTTTGCACATGTACTGTTTGTAACCATGTTGTTATACAGCATCACTGAGCAGAAATCAGGTTCTCCTTCACTGGAAGGGAGGAAAGAATTGCAAATTACCTCCAAATAGGAAAGAAAGAATATCATGGAGAGAAACAAAAAATAATTAGCTGTCAATATTTTTACCTTAAAATTAGTGAACAAAAAAATAGTATTAAGGTATTTTGCAGCTTAACTTTTTTAACATTGTCATCAGATTAATTGTGCAGAAAATGAATATATAATTCAGCTGGTCCCATTTCAGCATTGTATTTTGTTGTCTAAGATATCGTGGATCAGAACATTGTAGTCGTATCCTTTTCCATTTTTAGGACTTTGGTTGCAACCCATTCCTGTAATGTAAAGTCAGTTTTAATTGGCAATTTATAAACATATTTCTTTCTGTGGTTGTTATTTAGCTTTTATTCTCAGTGTCAAAATTTGGGTCAGATGGAACTAGAGCCCAAAAACCAGAGTAAATTCACAGAAAATTAGCTAAGGCCAGTTTTATTTGAGCATCACTGAACTTCTAAAAGCAACTAATGAGATGCAGTTAAGCTAAATGACAACCTATAATTTGTGACACAGTTCACAAAACTTACTTTTATTAGTCTTATTGGCAGTTCCAACATTTTGGCAAGCCTATACCTGCACCAGTCGCATTGAACAATATTTGCCAATATTTCTGGAATCTTGGATGAGTGGATTATTACAATCATTATATTCAGGATATTCATTTGGTTTAGCAACATTGTTGCTGTTGTTATCAAGACTATTTGGGTCTTCATATTCTATAGTTTGCTTCAATGTACATGCATCCTGATACACATTTTCACTCCTTCTTTGAACTATACCCATTTTAAATTACAATTGGTCACTTTTTGGAGTTTCTAGTTAAAGGTCATTTGAAAAGAAGCTAGTGGTGGTTTTGACATTGTGAATGCTCCCACAACTTAAGTTGAAAATATCCACTTGGATGCTGGACTGAGAAGATGCTCTCAAGCAAATGCTAAATATTATTTGAACCCTCAGCACTTGCTCAGCTTGGTGATTAACAAAGGAAAGTCTCATTTGTGTGGATCTGAAAGTTTGAGCCATTGTACCTCATGTACTTGTTAATAATGCAATTGCTTAGTAAACAGGAATTGTTTGTCATTTAAGTTGTTGGGACAGCAACTCACAGGCAAAGAAGCATAATGGTGAAATTGCTCTGCCTGCCAAACTCATACAATGTCCTGTGGTTGCCACATGTGCCCCAGTCCCCAGCAGCAAGTGGCGATGGCAGGATAGAGCATCAGGTAAGGGGATATTTCAGCTCTTGTGGATCTCTTCAGGGGAGGAACGTTTCTTTGGCAGGCTTCTGGTAGCTGAGCTGGAGGTCACAAGTGGTAGGCTGAAGTTGGGGGAGGAGGAGTGGCAGAAAACCCGAGATCTATGTTGGTGCCTTGGGAGGAGAGCTGAAGTGAATGTCCAGCTGCTTGGCAAGAAAAGACAAGATAGCGGCAGTGGTTATCATCTAACGTGTTGAACTCAATGTTGAGAGTGTAGAACGCCAAATGAAAGACCCTGTGCTGTTGATTAAGCTTGCCATGAGCTTCATTGGGTAACAGCAGTTCACTATGTATAGACTGCAGAGTGTATCAAACATTAACTCTTGTTTCTCCCTGAAGCTGCTGCCAGATGTTTTCCAGCATTTTTGTAATTTCAGATTTTTAGTATCTGCAGGGTTTCGCTTTTGATGTAAGCATTTGTAGCCCCAATTTTTATGGAGGACACTTCAGTTTATGTGAATTAATGATTTGAAGGTCTCTGAATCTGCTGTGCTCCTAGCTACATTCCTTGGTTTATTTCCAGCTTATTTATTACAATTCTTAAAATATGCATATTACTATAAAAAAGCTTCTCAAATCTCAAAGGCAATCTTATCGCTATGATGAATCTATAATAGGGTTGTTGAGTTGTTCACTGAGCAAGTAGGTTGGTTTGCAAATGTTTCGTCACCATACTAGGTAACGTCATTGGTGCACTTCTGGTGAAATGTTGTTGGTCTGTCCGCTTGTTATTTGTTTGTTCTGGTTTGACACGGTAGTTGGCCTCGTTTCCGGTTCTGCTTTGTAGTGGTTGGTATATGGGGTCTATTTCCATACGTTTGTTGATGGAGTTCCCGGTTGTGTACCAGGCCTCTAGGAATTCCCGTGCATACCTTTGGTTGGCTCGTACTAGGATGGTTACGTTGTCCCCGTCGAATTGGTGCCCTTCTTTGTCTGAGTGTATGGAAACAAATGATAGTTGGTCATGTCTCTTAATAGATACTTGGTGCTCATGTACCCTGATAGTTTTCTCCCGGTCTGTCCAATGTAGTGTTTGTGGCAGTCCTTACATGGGATTTTATATATAACATTGGTCCTGTTAGTTGTGAGTATGGGATCCTTTGTTCTTGTCAGTAGTTGTTGTAGTGTAGCTGTGGGTTTGTGTGCTACCACAATTTCTAGTGGTCGGAGTTGTCTGGTGGTCATCTCTGATACGTTCTTGATGTATGTCAGGGTGACCAGTGTATTTGGGCGTGCCGTGTCTTCCTGTTGTTGTCTGTTGAGTAAGTACTGGCGGACTACGCTTTTTGAGTAGCCATTGTTTTAAAAGACGCTGTGGTGTTCTTCTTTGGCTTTGTGCAGTTCTGGGGTGCTGCAGTGTGTTATAGCTCTTTTCAACAGAGCTCTGATGCTGCTGTGTTTGTGGGTCTTGGGGTGGTTGCTGTTGTAGTTAAGTATTTGGTCCGTATGGGTGGCCTTTCTGTATAAACCGGTCTGGAGCTCACTGTTCGCTCCTGGTATGAGCGATCCCATGGGGCTTATAGCTGAAGCAGTAATGCAAAGATGAGAACGGACAGCCCTTCCCACTATCCAACCAAAACTATGGGTCCTCTACGTGGTTGACACATTTGTCATTATCAAGCACACAAAGCCACTAACTCATCGACAACATCCTCACCGGTATAAAATTCACCAGGGAAGAGGAGAACAACAACCAACTCTCATTCTTGGATGTAATGGTTGAATGAAGGGCCAACGGTGAGCTCCAGACCAGCATGCACAGGAAGGCCACCGATACGGACCAAATACTTAACTACAACAGCAACCACCCCAATACCCATAAATGGAGCTGCACCAGAACTTTGTTCAAAAGAGCATTGCAGCACCCCGGAACTGTGCAAAGCTGAAGAACACCACAGTGTCTTTTAAAAAAAAAAGGCTACTCAAAAAGTGTAGTCCACTAGTACTTACTCAACAGACGACAACAGGAAGACACAGCATGCCCGAATACACTAATCACCCAGACATACATCAAGAACATATCAGAGGTGACCACCAGACAACTCTGACCGCCAGGACTCGTGGTAGCGCACAAATCCACAGCTACAGTATGACAACTACTGACAAGAACAAAGGATCCCATATCCACAATTAACAGGACCAACATTATATACGAAATTCCATGTAAGGACTGCCACAAACACTATATTGGACAGACTGGGAGAAAACTAAGTATCAGGGTATATGAGCACCAAGAGACATGACCAACTATCACTTGTTTCCATACACTCGGACGAAGAAGGCCACCAATTCGACTGTGACAACGTAACCATCCTACAACAAGTCAACCAAAGACACGCACGGGAATTCCTAGAGGCCCTGGTACTCAATCCGGAACTCCATCAACAAACCTATGGGAATAGACCCCATATAGCAACCACTACGAAGCAGAACCAGAAATGAAGCCAACCACTATGTCAAACCGGAACACATAAATAACAAGCGGGACAGGCCAATAACATTTCACCAGAGGCGCACCGATGATGTTACCTAGTATGGTGATGAGATGTCTGCAAGCAACTCAACAACCTGAGCTGCAATTCATTTCAAAAACTCGAAATGAACCTAAAATATAAATTAAACGATGAAACACAATACATCAATATATATATAATATGAAAGCAAAGTACGGTGAATACTGGAAATCTAAAGTAAAAACAGAAAGTGCTGGAAATACTCAGCAAATATGCTAGCGTCAGTGGAGAGAAACAAAGTTCACATTCTGAAAAAGTCATATTCAACTTGAAACAGCAACAGCTCACAATTGCTACCACACCAGCCAATCATTTTGTGTTTATTATAGAAGATAAGCAGTTTAGTACTGACGCTGCCTTCTATTTTCCTTTTTTAAAAAAAACCTTGAACTTTAGTCATTTGATAGTTTTGTTCTGTCTATTCTATACATTTTTTGCAATGTATTTGACTTGAAAAATCTATTTATCTTCTGTCTAACATTTTTTATCACTTTCCCTTCAAAAAGTGGACAACTTCAAAGGCAAGATAGTCCCAATTAACAAAAAGCCCTAATTGGTCAAGTCACATGTAAATGATAAATACATACAAGGTATTCAGAGAGTGAAAAATATCTATTTTAACTTTTAGCTTTCTCTAAAATGTATTGGTTGTTTAAACTAGTGGGAAAGATCAAAACTAATTAAAGTAGTTTCATCATAGTGAACATTCTATATTAACTTTTAAAAGACTACACTGGTTACTGTGTCTTCCAGATATTCTACACTTTTAAGTGTGGACATTTTTGTCACTCTTGCTATTCAGTTAGGTTCACTCAGTAGGAGAAAGGGAGGTGCTGTTTGAGTGAAATGTGCTAACACTCATCAGATTTCACGGTCATGCAGAAGATATTATCTGCAGTTAGTAGTTCCACTCTGCCGAAAACCCCTCGAGACTGCAGTTCATTGCCAAAGGCATTTTCCCACCAGGAGATTAGAGAACGAAGTAAAAAGAACCGATCTGCCTAAAATTGTGCATGTGGGTCATGTGGTATAAAGAGATGGGATAAAAAGTAAAATAGAAATCAAAATAACATTTTAAACCAAATTATTCAATTGTATTTTTCATTGAAAAAATGCAGGATTGATGTCAATCCAGTTAACCTGTAATTTCACCTACTGCCAGTGACCCACTGGTCCTTTCAAATAGACAAGTACCTAGAAGGTTTGATGAAAAAAATTCATCTGCTAACTGGTTATCCTTAAACTTTGTTAACCTTTAAACTTTAAACCAACTTATAGTCTTCTGTTCAAAAATCACAATATATTCTCTGATGTTTCAGACAGCAAATCATTTAAACAAAACAGAAGTTGCTGGAAAAGCTCAGCAGGTCTGGCAGCATCTGTGAAGGAAAAAGCAAGCGTTAACGTTTCGGGTCTGGTGACCCTTCCTCAAAACAAACCATTTACCTCTGTCTTTGTTCTTCAGAGATTTGGTTTCCTTTTTGATTATTCTCAGCCTTCCTTTTTATTTGTGTATCATTTAAGCCAAGTGGCTCGAACAATTGGCTGTGGAATATTGCTTCCTGTAGTTTAATTTTCAAGAGCAAGTTTGCAGCACCGAAAGAGGCTGTTGCGTCAGAATTGGATCTTTGCTGGAGCAATGTATAACTAATCCCAGCCCCCTGCTCTCTTTTCATAGCTTGGAATCTCTCACATCTTTAAACATGTATCCAATTTTTCCTTAAAGTACAATAGTCTCTGCCTCAAATACTCCATCTGGCAAATTACTCCATGCTCCAAAGGCTCTCATTTTAGCTGAGCTGGTAAATCTAACAATTTGGCTAAGACCTCAGGAAACAGTCTACACCAGTCAGTTCAGTGAATTAATTTATAATTCCTTCATTTGGAAATGTGTGCTGTACCTTTTGTTTTCAAAATCAAATTGTTTATATTTTTTGTTCATGTTAAACAACTATCTGGACACCGCAGTTAATGTAATGGGAAAAAAATGGTCGTTCTCTGTCCTAGCGAGCGGAAAATTCAGATAAATGTTTTTATTTATTGATCTCAAAATATTTCCTTGTTCTTCAAAAAACAGGAGAGGAAAGTAAAATAGTGTCAGCCAGAAGCAAGTCCAGGTCAGGAGTGTTATAGAATGGAGCAACATAGATTGAAGTATCCTGTAATACGTTCTAAAAAAGAAAGTCTCAATCTTAGCTGCTTAATGGCATCCAGTGACTTGAAATTAATTTTCTACACATCCATTGTTGATGAGATTCCATATATTTGTGCATTTTGCACCATATTTTGGACAACTTTTCTCCCCCAGAGTTGGCTGACTAGAAACTAGGTTGAAATCTTCCAGTCATATTCAAAACAGGACAAGTAGAACTGATAGAAAATAAATATTTTTACCTTATCAACCAGATATTGATTTGTGCTCTGGATCCAAAGGTTAAATAACCTTGTCACCTTGTCCACCTCATACAGTAATTCATACTGTATGAATTTAAAAACCAAATGATAGATTCTGCATTTGTTCACATTGCAAATGTGTGTGCATGTGTATCCCCAGTAGGATTCATCCAGCAGTTTTTAGTCAGTAAGAATTTATGACCGGATCAAATCAAATTCTGAATGATTTCAAGCAAGCTCTGAGTGCTATTTGTCACCATGTTGATGAACTTGTCGACTAAAAGCAGTAAAGAAGGTATGATGGCTGAAAAGATCTTGTGGTAGAGAGGTTAAGGAGCAGGCTTCACAGCAATGTCCTTTGTGGGTGGTGGCAGACGCTTGAGTTGATATGTCTGATGTCTGAGGGGTTTTGTCAGTTCCCAGCAGGACTATTTGCTGGGAATATCTTGGGGACACCCATCCCAGGGAAAGGACTGACATTTGATCTACATTTTTAACATGTGTGCCTCTTGTCCACTAAATCACAGCATAACTTCGACAATGAAATGCAATCCTGCAACCGAAGAATACCAAAAGTAAGCAGAGATGCAGGCAATGAATAATATTATGTAAAAGCAAAAAGGGCAAAGTTGTGTTTTGATGAGAGACAGATTTCTATAAAATATAACTTTAATAGACCTATAAAAAATCGGTTTAATCATATAGGGCTTTTAGCATCATAGAGTCATAGTCATATAACTTGGAAAGAGGCCCTTCAGCCCAACAAACACCGACTTATTCTCATCTTTTTTTCAAGCACATGATACCTAGCCTTGTATGCTGTGTTGTTTCAAGCGTTCATTTTAATACTGCTCATATGTTGTGAGGGCTCCTGCATCTTCCACCCTTTTTGGCAGTGAGTTCCACACATTCTCCATCCTCTGGATGAAAACAATTTCCTCAAATCTCCTCTAAACCAACTGTTGCTTATCTTAAATCTTAATCTCCTGGTTATTGAATATGTTTATTCTAATGCACCTTGTCTATGCTCCTCATAATTTTGTACATCTCAATCAGCAGCACCCCACCATGCTTTGTGTTTTAAGAAAAGCAACCCCAGCCTATCTATTCTGTTTTCTTAGCTGCAGTGCTCTGGCCCAGACACCATCCCAGTAGATCTCATCTACATTTCATCTAGTGCAACCACATTGTTTCTGTATTGTGGCAACCAGAACTGCACACAATACTCCAGCTATACTCCTAACCAACTTTATATACAGCTCCATCATAACTTCCCTGCTGTTGTATTCATTGCCTCGACTGATAAAGACAAATATCCATTCTGCCTTCTTAACGACTTCATCCATCCATCCTGCTGTCTTCAAGGATCTGTGGACATGCACACCAACGTCCCTCTGAATCTGTATACCTCCTAGGATCTGACCATTCATTATATACTTTCTTGCCTTGTTAGTCCTCCCAAAATGCACCACCTCGCGCCTTTCAGAAATAAATTCCATTTGTCACTGTTCTTCCTGTCTGACCAGCCTGTCTGTGTAACCTGTAGTCTAAGTCTTTTCTGCTCACTATTTACTAATTTTCATGTCATCTGTGAACTTCTGTTTGTACCTCTACATTCAGGTTTAGATCATTAATATACAGTGCAAACTGTAAGGGACGCAGGACTGAACCCTTTAATATGCTACTGGACACAGACTTCCAGTCACAAAAACAGCCTTCAAGCATCACTTCCTACCTCTCACCACGAAACTAATTTTGGATCCAATTTGCCAAATTGCCTTGGATCCTATGGGTCCTTAACTGCTTGACCAGTTTCCCATGTGAGCACCTGTCAAAAGCCTTAGTAAAATTCATGTAGAACATCAACTGTGCTGCCTTCAACACTACCTATACATCTCCTTGAAAGCTTCAGTCAAGTTTGTTAGATATAACCCCACCTTGATATAACCATGCAGATCATCCTTAATTCATCCCTGCCTTCCCAAGAGGAGATTAATTCTGTCCTCCAGAATTTTTTTCCAGTAGTTTCCCTACCATTGATGTCATACTCACTGGGCTGTACTTGGTTTATCCATACCAACCTTTTTGGATAATATTACAACGTTAGCTGTCCTACAGTCCACTTTTATCTGTCCTGTGGCCAGAGAATTTGAAAATTTATATTGGAGATGTAGAAAGCATCCTATCTGGATGCATCACTGCTTGGTGTGGTAACTGCTGTGCCCAAGAGTGCATGAAATTACAGAGACTTGTGAACAAAGCCCAGTCTATCACAAAAGCCAACCTTAGAACATAGAACAGTACAGCACAGTACAGGCCTTTCGGCCCACGATGTTGTGCCGAACTTTTACACTAATCCTAAGGTCTATCTAACCTCCACCCCTACCTCACACTATCATCCATATGCCTATCTAATAGCTGTTCAAATGTCCCTAATGAGGCCGACTCCACTACCCTCTCCGGCAATGCATTCCACGCCCCGACCACTCTCTGAGTAAAGAATCTACCTCTGACGTCTCCCCTATATCTACCTCCACTCACTTTAAAACTATGCCCCCTCGTAATAGCCATCTCCACCCTAGGAAAAAGTCTCTGGCTGTCTACTCTTATCTATACCTCTGATCATTTTGTACACCTCTATCAAGTCACCTCTCATCCTTCATCGTTCTAAAGAGAAAAGCCCTAGCTCTCTCAACCTTTCCCCGTAAGACCTTCCCTCCATTCCAGGCAACATCCTGGTAAATCTCCTCTGCACCTTTTCCAACGCTTCCACAACTTTCCTGTAACGAGGCGACCAGAACGGGACACAATACTCCAGATGTGGCCGATCCAGGCTTTTGTATAGCTGGCGCATAAATTCACGGCTCTTGAACTCAATCCCTCTATTAATGAAAGGTAACACACCATACACCTTCTTAACAACTCCATCCACCTGGGTGGCAGCTTTCAGGGAACTGTGGACATGAACCCCAAGATCCCTCTGCTCCTCTACACTGCCAAGAATCTTTCCGTTAACTCAGTATTCTGCTTTCAGATTTGTCCTTCCAAAATGAATCACCTCACACTTTTCAGAGTTAAACTCCATCTGCCACTTCTCAACCCAGCTCTGCATCCTATCAATGTCCCTTTGTAACCTAGAACAGCCCTCCGCACTGTCTACAACTCGACCCACCTTTGTATCATCCGCAAACTTACTAATCCACCCTTCCACTCCTTCATCGAAATCATTTACAAAAATCACAAATAGAAGAGGACCCAGAACAGATCCTTGTGGTACACCACTCGTAACTGAACACCATGTTGAATATTTTCCATCCACTACCACCCTTTGTCTTCTAAGGGCCAGCCAATTCTGAATCCAATCTGCCACATGATTAACCCTTCTTTCCATTGAATAAAAACCAAAAGAACTGTGGATGCTGTAAATCAGGAACAAAAACAGAATTTTCTGGAAAAGCTCAGCAGGTCTGGCAGCACCTGTGAAGAGAAAATCAGACTTAATGTTTTGGGTCCGGTGACCCTTCCTCAGAACTTGTTGTTCTGAGGAAGGGTCACTAGACCTGAAACGTAACTCTTTTTGTTCCTACTTCCCATTGACTCCATCCATACTTTCTGATGCTTTGGGAAAGCAGCCAACATAATCAAAGACCCCTCCCACTCTGGTTATAGTCTCTTCTACCCTCTTCCAACGGGCAAAAGATACAAATGTTTGAAAACATGTACCAACAGATTTAAGAACAGCTTCTTCTCTGCTGTAATTAGACTAATGAACGGACCTCTGATATATTAGAGTTGATCTTTCTCTGCACCTTTTCTGTATCTGTAATACTGTATTCTACATTCTGTTCTATTATCCTGATGTACTTATGTAAGATGATCGCACACAAAACAATACCTTTCACAGTGTCTCGGTACATATGACAATAATACATCAAATCAAATCAAATCAAATTGAGCTCCTGAAACCTTCATCTCTGCATCCCACAGTAGCCAAGGATACAATTAATCTGGACCTGGAAATTTATCCACTTTCAATCTTGCTAAAACTACAAATGCCTCCCTACTGTATATGATAATCTATTCAGGTATATCACAGTCCGCTGCCCTGATTTCTGTAACTACTCTTAGCCTTCCAATGA